GTTACAAAAGCCAAGAATTGTACTTGAATAGCACACTCCATAATCTTTGACCTCAGGGGAAGAACTGAGATTGGTCGGTAATTATTGACGTCTTTCCTTGCTCCTGATTTAAAAATACGTGTTACTCTTGCATCCTTCCACTCAGCCGGAATAAGTCCTGTTGAAATAGTAAGGTTAACCAGATATGTGATCGGTTTAGCTATAACTGGAGCTGCATCCTTCAAAAGTCTCGCAGTGATACCATCAGGACCCGAGGCTTTAGTCACCTTGAGTTTAGATAGCTCCTTTAAAACAAAGTTAGTTGACACCTTTTGAGGAAAAAGTTTTGCGCAACTCTAGGAGTTAAAATATTGGGCAGGGTGGTGTTACTTTTGTTATGACCACAAAGTTTCTCAGCAACTGACGTGAAAAACTCGTTAGATTTTCAGAAGCTGAGGCATTCGCAGTTTTGTGTTGCTTCTTGTTTGGTAAAGTCTCGTTCAGAGCTTTCCACAATTTACGCGAGTCCTAGTGGCACTAGCTCAATAGGAGGCTGGTTTGACTTTATAAGTAGGCAGAATAGGCTAGGCTGCCTTGTATAACTGTAAAATGAAAAACGTATATTTATTATAAAGACTTTTGTTCTGAGGCCATCGCAGTTTAATCAAAAGGTAAACACGAACAGCGGTAATAAATATTGTTAGCTTTTGCATTTTTATATAAACTTGACGTTTCGTATACTAAATAGTTATAATGGTTTTCTTTTTCTTTTTTTTTTCTTATTCCTCGCGAAGCGCCGAGCGATGTGAGTTTATAATCTCGTCGCGCACGAAGCGCGCTCGCAGTTTGTGAACCGCGCGTGGGTCCTAGCGAGCTGCAAACTCGCAGCTCTCATCTTTACTTGTATATATCCGATGGTGTCCGCCATGACGTCATACAGTAGTTTGACGTCACGGCGCATTTTTGTTTCTAGGCAACATTCGACCGAAAGCGATTTCGAATTCCCATCAATGACCAAAGCACTCATGAAAAGCTGTCTTTTCCTTGTCTGCAAAACAATGTTTACTATCGATGAATCTCAAGCCATTTCTCATGCAAACAGAACAGCAAACACAAGAACGCCGAATTGTCAATCCTCGCAGGGGAAGATTTGACACCGAAAGATCCTCTGGAGCGAGAACGCCGACTTCAAATTCAACGGCGCAAGCAAACAAAGATGGATGGAGATGGCAGCAACAAACAGCGGAGCAGAGAGAACATCACTCAATGAATTTCAAATGCTAAAGTTCTTTAAGAGCAAATGGAGGATATTTTGGATAATTAGTATGTGTAATCAAATGGTGACGAGTAAAATTAGGGAATAATTTCACGCGCGTTTTGTCCTAATCCTAATATATGGAGTTAGCCAGGGCTAAAAGCGAAGCTCCTACTAACTCGAATTTATAATTTAAATCAAACAATTGTAAAATTGTATTCCACAAATCAGTTAACTTTAGAGCACATTCATGTGACTTTTGACGGAAAGGCTAAGTAATTTTAGAGAAAAATAATTTGCAAACAGTCCAAGCTAAGAGTGAAATTAATCTTACATGACTTGATAGCCTTATACGTACACCTAAAAAATAGCATAGCCATAATGGTTCTTGATCACAGTACATTAGGAAAACAAATCAGGCCGAATTTTTTGCGTTCGATAAGTTTACTTTACAAAATCTTGCCAACAAGTCTGGGAACGTGTAAACCAACCTTTTGTACCTGAGGTGAAATAGTACCATGAGGCGCTGTTTTTATCATACAGACCTCGGACAGAATGCAGTATTTCAGAATTTTGCAATACAAATTGCACTCATTCAATATTTAGGACGATCGAAGCACGCGTTAGCGAAACCCTTAAAAAAATTTCCAAAATCACCTATACGGCGAGCCGGTTCTCACTTTTGACAAGCGCCAGAGTCGACTGTTTAAATTAAGATTAACACAGTTATACGCTTCAACATAATGGCTTTATAACGATGTGTAATCTTCAAAAGCGTTTGATACGCGCGGCATTTTGACTACTCCTGCAAGCTATGTTCATGAGCCGACTGAAAACAAACGGCACAACAGCGATGAAAATTTCAAAAAGACTACTAACAATCAATAAAAGGAAAATAATTCGGTGAAAAATATATACAGAGACAACAATTTTCTTTCACGAATACAAGTATTAAAGTGTCTTTGAAAATCCTTGTTTATGTTTTAAGCCGGCTTCCCGGTGTTTGCGTTTTTCAAAGATAAACTCGAGGCACGAAAATCGCTCAAAGCCTTCTTTTACAGCCAGAATTATACCTAAATATTCTTTGGAACGTTTTCTTTCTATTTGCGGTGAGAAAATGTCTGAAGGCTTTTTAAAGTTCTATAAGCTTATAGTCAAACCTGATACTCGGTCAGATCATTGTCTCAAATCTTACAAACGTGCATAAACTAAATAGCCCCATAAACTACACTCGACTTCATTGAATTAGATATAAAAAACAAACATCAAATAAAATAATTACTCAGGCTTACCATTCGAGATGCACTGAAAACGATCAAGTAAGGCCAGGATCGCTTCAGAGTTTTCAAACCTCTTACGCATCAAGCAAGGTGAAAAACGAAAACGATGCCATCCGAAATCGGATTTCCTACTTTGACAAGCGACGTATTTCTCAACCAATAACCCTATAAACAAACTAGCCATGAATAACAGAAGACTCTTGATAGCAGTTGAATTTCATTTTGTACAATGTTCAGTGGAAAAAGACAGTTAAAAACATCACAAGTTGACAAAAAACTCTGTCATCTTCAGCTGTCAAAGTAAACAAGTTTCAAGATGCGTCAAATTTTGACCAATCAGAGCATAAAAATTGGACGTAGAGCGTGATCAACGCGTGACCTTGGTGAGAAAAGCCAAAAGCAGCTGGCATGTCTTCCCTGCGTGTAAAAACTGGCTGAATCTTAGCTTCCGAGGTCAGTTTGAAATCAAAATTTTAATTGTGCGGCACATGTAAAACACAACATATTACTTAAAAAAATTAAACTTGAGCCTGCAATCATTTGAAAACTAGTATCTTCTCAGCGGATAACTTTAAAAAAATACTAGACCTCGATGGGTCGACACCTGAGCCCGCGATACGGTCATGTGATACTGGTCAGCGGGACCCTGTTTTGACAGCTTTCAATTGATCACAACATTGATGTGCATTATGTGTGCAATATCAGTCTTCCTGTGCTCCCAAACTACAGCTTGAAAGGACAAGCGTGAAAAACGTAGTGCGCATGCTTCCGGCGCGAACTTGCCAGTGCCTCCCCCATCGAAATTATACGCGATACCAAAACAAACTAGATTCCGGCCGCGAAATTCAAAAAAGTAAGCTCCACACACAAAAGATAAGCTTAGAATTTCAGGAACACAAAGTTTATTAATTGCTTTAGTTTCTCTCTTTTGCACCACATACTTTCCTCCTTGCACCAAAGGCGAAAATTATTTTTGAAAGTCCACGCTCGCTCTGGCAGGACTTCGCCGTAGCCATTGTTGCTGTTTTTGGTCATCATGTCGCTGAGCTCGGTCTATGCGAACAACGAAAACGACCAATGCATGCTACGTGGAAAAACAAGGACGGAAAAACCTTGTACTGGACGACTTTACCAGCTGTCTGAAGCTCTCAGCCGTGTTGTTGGTTTGCCGGTAAACTCCCATGTTTGCCGGCGACATTGGGATGAGTTGCGAAGAAAGGACGTGCGCTGCTCCTGTCCAACACACGACAGGAAAACACCTTCTCGCCTGGATTCAAAGCCAATTCCTCGCAGATTTTACCCAATATTTGACGAGATTGGCT